ATTTATCCCGGGGAGAAGAAATCCGATAAGACGGCTTATCCATATGGCGAACCACGGCCTCTTGTCCGGTTACCTTTCCAAGTCGGGTATTTCCAAGTCTCGCACATAACCATCCCCGCATGGCATTCGAACCTGCGAACCTGCGCCATTTCTACGTGTGAAATGTTTTTAAGAGTGCCTTTTTTGCCTAGAAGCATATTGAATACCGGACATTGCATTATATTACGCAAATATATGTTATTCTTCTCTGTTCCGTTCGTTTTAATTTTTGCCTGTCCTCGAGTACATTTAATTAATTTTACCGGTACGCCAGGGTAGAAAGGTTGGGAACCACTGACCTAGAAAACCAGGATTGGTATTTCGCGATTTCCCTTCCCTTCGTATATTTATTTGTTATCTTTTTCAAGAGAGGTTTGCTGCTAAGAAAATGTAATACCTCATTAGAATAGCACGTCGTCTCTCCACTTTATTTCGTTAGAAAAATCGGCACAATTCTGCAACATAGTCAAAAAGATCAATATTTCTTGATAAAATCTAACGCACTTGAATATTATTAATGATCAATTTTCTTAGGCCTATTTTTCCCAAATAGCATAGACTGATAATAAGCTAAATTCGTCGAACTCGTTATATAGATCCACACTGATTTTCCTGTACACTTCACTATATATAGCATATATCAGGGCCGTTGGTAAACGACGCGAGTGTGTATAATATAATTTGGTAAACACAAAAATAGATTTAGGATTTTAGCATCTAAAAAGTTTTATTACTTCATCATTGACTTAGCATCAGATCTGCATTGTACACTGCAATTAAGTAATAAAACTGAAAACACAATCTTCTAGGCATTCAATACTAAATTAAACATTTGCATGCTGGTGCAAATAAATTCTGAGACACTCACCCAGTAGTAATAGTTTCTTTTCCTTCTTCGCCTCTAATTTCTTTATTTTTATCATTCTGTCAATTTCTCGGTTGACTCTTATTTTATGCCTCTCCTCTTCACTAAGACAACAATATTGCAAGAGTGCCATAATTTCGTATCGTATTTCAAAACTGAGCTCAATCCGTCACTGCTCTCTGAATAATGATGGTTTCACTCAACATACACTGGACAAACCCCAATGCCTTCGTTATATGGCTGTAGAGCAAGCCGCACATCAAATCGACATTGTTAGCGAGCACATATGATAGTTTGGTCAGAACCTATTTTTAACTATAATCTACCATATATGTAAAAGGAACATAACCATGCATTAGCGGAAGTCACGTGATGTACTGTCAAAGTTTGCTCGAATAATTTTTAAAAAGCAGGAAGAACGACGTCGATGCTTTGTACTTTTCACGAGTTGTTTCAATCACTATGCCATATGTTCTACAGATAAATTTATAGATTCTGTTTTGATAAGCCAATAATAACTAAATGGAGAGTTAAAAAAAGAATTATTAGGTACGTTATGATACACGGGCTGAAAAAACTAGATACGATTTACTCCCAGCTTTAAAAAGACGTTGAGTTAACCGATTCAGTATTTTTATATAGGCCTACCCTGCATCAACCCTACACAGCCGTCGGCGAAACTACTATGTCAAATAACAAGTAAACGCATAATATTTCAAACGCATTTTTTCTTTTAAAAATCAACAATACCGCCAGCACTATTCTACTGCATGTTAATGTGCACGATCCAAATATGTTAATTTTACAGTTTATCAAAGATAAGACACTCACCCAAAAGTAGAAGTTTCTTTTCTCTTTTAACATCCAATTTTTTCAATTTTATCATTCGATCAATTTTTTTGTGAACTCGTATTTTTCGCCTCTCTTCTGAACTCATGCAGCAAAAGTCTATAACTTCAGCCATGACGTTGATATTCTTCGAAGATAGTTGTATATCTTGAGAATATATCCTAGCTATACTTGGGCTGTTAAACCGCCATATACAAAAGTTTTTATTTACTCCGATTGACGTACTGGACTACCAATATCTTGTTGGTCTATACAAAACAATGGAGAATTGACAAATTTTTAAATTCAAAAATATGATACCACTTTTTCATTTTTATATTCTATGAATTAGAACTGGCTCAAGATATTTTTGTGGGATTTGAAAACATGGACCCTTATTGAAATTTATTCATAAAAATATTGTTATTGCTACAAAATATTAGATACTGAATATTTATTTGCTCGTAAAATTTGCTTATATCAATATAAAAATACAAGAACACGTCCCAACAAAACAATTTAGAATTTTAAAATCAAATCCAATACGCTATTGGCAAAAGTTGATGTCGAGTAACCCTTGTAAAATTCAAAATAAGTTGAATAGTTTTAACATATTACATAAAAATACAAAAATTAAGCACGGCAAAAAGAATCTAAAAGCATTTTCAGAAATAAAGTGAAACTGAACTTTACTACGTAAAACGTAATTTAAAATGGTTCATACTTATGGGCATGTCAAGCACATTTCTTCAATTGCGTTTTTTATATAAGTTTCGACATGTCATTCCCAATTGACTACTTATCCAACGGTATTTTGATCGCTGCATATAACTATTAGCCACTATTATTCTTCCCCGTGTTCTCCTAATTGTTTTTCGTTATTGTTCTATTTGATTTACCTATAGCAGTAGTTCTCAAACTTCCCGCAGTAATTTGGAAATTTTGGGGGGGGGTAATTCAGACCATCGCCAACGCAACAATTTCTTTTGGAATTCTCGTCTTTTTCGTCTGTGAAAAAGTTAGATGTGCATATTTTGCAGGTAGTAATTGGGCATAGTTACGTCAAAATATCGTTTTTAGCACGGTAAGTTAACAATGCTTCGCTTTACGTCATGTTGTAGGTCGTAGGCTAAAATGCTAAGCTGGTGCGAGTTTAGCATATTTGAAAGGTGCAATAGGCGATAGTATTATCGTTAAATATCAAGTTGTTGATTTGTGCGTGTACTTTATTGCATAAGCTTATATAGTTCATTTGTATGAAGGTGGTCCTTCAAAATTTTGAATTTCTACGAATTCGAACCAATTTTATAACATAAGAAGCAACGCCCGAAACTAGTTTTTCGTGTATTTATGTTTGTTGTTTACTTTTTAGCTTTATTTGTTTACAAAAAAAACAGCAGCTAATCAATTAATTGTTATTATTGGTATTCGCATTTCGGCACAGGCACCGTCACATAACTTCTAAATGTTTTTGTATTCTCCACGACTTCACTCATCAAAACTATTTACAGCATTACAAGTAAGCTTCGCCCGTGAAATTTATTTTCTCGTGATCATGTACTCTGTTCATTAATTTTTTCTGGTATGGTTGTCGTGATGTGTTCTCACTTGTGTGAGTGTGGGTGAATGGACACAGGCGCTGGTCACAGCGTTCGTTATAAACCTTTAGGTTTTGCCCATTTTCCCGATCTTTGCCCATGTCTGTGTTTTTTATTTGTGTTGTAGACGAAAGATCGGAATAAAATTATATTGTGTTGTACTGAGTTGGCCGCTAACACGAAATCTAATACTTTCCAATAAGGCATTAACATTTTTGATTCAATGTCCTTCAACTTACTGCTGTGAAGTAGGATTATCTGCAAAAATCTTGTGATTGACAACAGTAACACCCTTCCCACCTAGATTAATTCAAGACGTTGTTGTTGTGTTTATGCATTCTTGCATTAATCGCGCACTGGAAATTTTGATTTTTAAGAGAGGGAAAAATTGAGCGTTTGGAAATTTGATTCAGGGATAACAATATTAAAAAAGTTAGAGAACCACTGACCTATTATAGGCTTAGCAGCCCTGTTGCCTCAAAATGCATACGGGTTTTGACATTTCAATTTTGAAATTCGTTTTTAAGCTTTAAAGGCGTGATACATTATTTAACCTTGTTACAACTTCAAATATAATATATTGTTTGATTTTTTTAATCAGTTTATTTATTCTTGTTCCAAATACTTACTGTTTAAAACTTAAAATATTGAATGAGTCGAAATTTTTTTTTTCTTTATTTAAAGAGACTTAACCATTTTAATATATAAAATAAAAACAAATTGAAGCACCAATTAACTAAACAGTTTGTACGCTAAGAATGCCTTCATTTTTGAAAATAATAATGAAATAAGAATATTATTTATTTATACATCAGCGAATCTGAGAACTATATATATACATTTATTACCATTTTTGAAATTTTCTATTTCGTATATCTCTTTATTTAAAAAATGGAATGATAATTTTATTAATCAGTAAAATTTTATTCATTAGTAAATGGGTTAGTCAAAACCTCATTAGAGATATTTAACAAAGACTGATTCAAAGCCATTGCAATAGATATATTTTTTGCATGATCCTATCGATATTTTCCCCGTTTTCATATGAAAAATATCTGTATATCTAGAAAACAGCATCCATATTTGTCTAGCCTCCATCTGACAAATCCTCCCACTGAATGAGAGTCGCAAATACACACCATTCCCAACTCAAATATGCAGACACTGTTGCGATTCTTATTATTCTCAACATTACCTCTGACTCCGTTATTTAGGAGGTTTTGTCGTAACTAAATTTCAATCTTGTTCTGTCGCGCACGAATAAAAAACTTTGATTTAGCAATAATCATGAATAAGATATTCGGCGCTTCTCATATTTTTGATTCAATTGTTCTTATCCAATTCGATTACTTTATTGGCGAAAGTTCCTTGTTACTTATATTCCGCCTCACTATCTTACATAAAACTTGTTTTCAAGACCCGGCGTATCTGAATCGCACCCCGCCCAAGAAACAAGGCTTATGTCTTGGACATTTCGTTCCTTTTTAGCATATACAATATTTTTTTCAATTTTTCGCTCTATTAGGGCGTATAGGCGACATAATTGACTATTTACAACTAGAAAATTTGCAACAATTGAGAATGCTTATTCTTTCACAATGATAAACAAGCCAATGAATATAAATGACAAAGTGTAAGTAAAATAAATGCGGCGTCACGGTATGTGGACAATATTTGATTTATCAAAGTTCCACGCCGCTTAAGATTCACCAAATTAACCGCTATGTTTCTGACTTTTCAAAAAGTATATATTATAAGTCAATAACGCGAAATCAGTACGAACTGAACTCATGAAGATGGCACCAATGACATTAATGTTTAATGTCATTGATGGCACCGAACGTGTAATAACCATACATATTGAACAAAGATAGATGCGAAAGTGATTCAAATATTTTTCACGCCCGAATTATCTGTTTATAGGATTTTTTCTTGTCAACCAAAAAATTTTAAGAATCTTGGGTTCCGATAGATATCTAGTTCTCGAGCTAAGCTCGGATCGTCATGAAAATCAGACCTAGAGAAGTGTTTAAATATTCACGATTTTCCGTTTGAATTACGACAATGAAAAACTTTGTTGTTTACAAGGATACTATCATTGAAATGGACAGGAATTCTTTGTGCGTTTACAGCTATAGTAATATATATTTGGTAGTATATTTTCATAATAACCATTATAAAAATAGTTTGTAACCAGCGGCTAATTGCAAACCTATCGAACGCTATCATCCTCGAGCATCGTGTGGCGAGACTGGCAATAGTTCTTAACGCTTAGAACCATTCGTAAATATCTCATTTAATGTAGAATATTCGGGCGGAATCGTGATAACTTCTGACCCCATATGGAATAATTCCAATATCATATAAATTCAAACACTTTTTTTTAATACAAGGCAGGGCGATAAAAAAATCTCTGGAAAATAGTTCTAATAAACTAGACAAAAATAAGACAGTGATCAACAATTTTGGCAACAAAAAATACAATTTCAACTAGTACGGAATAATTTCCATATATAATATCGCATCCACTCAAAAGATAAAAACAATGCGTCCTAACTAGAATAACATAACATAGAAAAGTTTATATGGCACTGCAACCCTAGCATATTCACAAATGCCTGTTTCAAACCATCTTAAATTAATACAATTTAACTTTTAAATTGGCGATTGTACATGACACACCCACTTATTTATGAGTTTTAGAAAAACTAGAATCTATCCGATATTCACTCATTCAATCAGCATATCATATAAGAAAACTGGGAAAGGGAAAAGATACAATTATGTTTTGAAATAGGTAAATTGGAATTAAAAGAAAGTTTAGGTAAATTGGAATTACAGCGAAATGACACAGAAATCACAATTATAAAAATTCTAAATGTACACTGAGTGTCTAACATTTCACTACGAAATCCTCTGGCACATATGCAGATGCTGGTGGATACCTGGAAGAAGAAAAATAAATGCAAAAACTCAAAAACTTCTGGTATCGATTTTAGATATATACCGTAGATAGCAAATGTAAAAATAGAATGATTGAAAAGAGATTTATTTATGTATGAAAATTACAAGTCGTATTATTTTCCCAATAATCTAATTACTGAGGGCTTGTATTTTACAACAGGAGTAAACATGCAATATAGAAAAAATCCTTGATTAGAAAATGTCAAAACATTCGGTAAACTGAATAGCACTGGAATCATTTGAAAGTATGTTCTATTTTTATCTGAAATGTCAGAATATTTAATTAAAATAGACTCATAATAGTGAATATTTACATATAGAATGCCTCATAAAATGTCCCATACTAAAAAATAAGGTTAAAAGATTTATATCCAATTAAAGAGTCCAGCTGCACACTAACACAGATGTATTTCTGTAACAGAAATAAATTTGTGTTAGTGTGCAGCTGGACTCTTTAATTGGATATAGTAGTCATGTTTATTCAAGCTACAGCATCCTTGCAGTATACGCATCCACTATCATAATAGCATAGAGGGAAGATAGGAAGTTAGTCTCACGCAACCCAACTTAAAGTTAAAAGATTTATATGGCACATTCTATAAATTTTAACCTAACCAAGCTGTTTGAGTCCGAGTTTCTAGTCCACAACACTTACTTGTATGCCATTTGAGTGACTGTGTTGAAATCATTCTCCTGTGTAGTATCAATGGTCGAGTAATCAGGCTTCATCGAGGTCCTTGGACGTCCAACCTTTTTCACAAATGTTGCATGCGTTGTACCACACAAAGGAGTTGCATTAATCCTTTGAAACTTAAAATTATAAAAATATTATTATTTATCATAATAACTACATTCAAAAACATTGTTAATATACCATACTTATTCAAAAATTCATTTTTAATATTTTGAACATGCACCTATCTAAATACCATGATATTTAAAAAAATGAAATGCCTATGTAAAATGTGTTTTCCAGCCTCAAATACACTAGCCTTGATATACAAGCAATATGTTACTACCTAACTTTGGCGACGAAAAAGGAAATTATCAAATAATCTTCATTCGTAAATCAACTTTCATAACTGCTACTGTCTCTTTCAATAAATATAAATATATATACTGTATATAAATTTTAAACACCTAAGCATGTGGAACTTCAACAATTACAATTTACCTTATTCTTTTCAATTGTCCATATTAAACTCCCCCTAATCATGATACAGTAAACTCGTTTCTAAGAAAAAAAATCATTCAAACAATTCTAGAGGTTTTCGTTTACATTATCTGACTGTCAAACGGCCTTGTCTACCTGGAGAAAATATGCCAGCTAAACTGCAAGTAGCATTCAAACTGATCTTTCTACATCCTCAATATTTCATTGGAGACACTCAATGAATCTGACAACAAATGATTGATAGTATTATATTAGAATTTACATATTTATTCCTTTGTGGAAAGCCGTTAGGACGGCTTAATCATAGGCCGAACCTTCGTCTGGTTACCAGTCCACGCCGGGTATGGGATTAGTTAGCTAGTTATTTGTTTTCGCTTATTATTCGATATTACAATTATTTATTTGCACGATGCAGTTTTTTTACAACATCTATAAGCAATCTTCTTTCATCTTTTCATTCATTAATAATTTCAGATTAGTTCCCTTTGCCCTTTATTCCTTTAATATTATTCAACTATCATTATTGTTTCAGATTAAAACTCAAGTACCTCTTGCTGATTATGACATATCGTATATAACAACTATGGAGTCATTCAGAGTAAAAAAATAGGATGTAAAGCTTTTCAGGCATTACAGACATTCGACATGTCATTCAGATTCATTTTGACTAGGATTCAAATCTTCTACAGTATAGATTTAATATAGAATAATTATTTTCCTATAATTAGAAAACGTCAAAAACCGTTAGAGAGCATGCGAAACAGTGCAAAAACAGTGAAAACCTTAATTAGCTACAGTAGCAGATACTCTAAGTCTAATGGCAGTTGGAGAAAAATAATAAATAAAAAACATTAAAAAATGAGTTTCTCACTTACTTTCCCAAATCTTCTCAATTCATTGCAGGCTTCATGAAAATCCCCATGTCTCATTCTACGATGTGTTCCCCAGTCTTGGAAGAAAGCTCGATTCATTGTCATATCACGAAATCTTCCTTTTGGAATCTTCGAATTAGTTTCTGGCCTGGGAACAGGCTGTGATCTAGACTCAACATGCTTCACATCATAGTCTCTCTAGAATGAAAGTAAGAGTTTAGTCTATTTATCAGATAACGTGAAAGCCAAAATTGGAGGATTAAATGATCTATCTATGTTGCAATATTGATAAAACTTTTGAAGATATTCTGATGAAAATAAGTAATTAACTACCAGTATGTATTGCCTTGGACACCGTCATTACAGAAGTATTTAAGTATAAGTTTATTTAGACTCCTTAATCAGCAATAGACGATAAAAAAATTGATAAAAACAAAATAAATAAAACCAAACTAAACTATTCCACCATAGTTATCCCTAATATGCCTGATATAGGAATAATATTTTCCATTTATTTTATCAAATGACACATGATAAAGTTTCAACAAGTAATATGACTGACAATAACAATAACTTGGGTAGGACTGTTGGGTCGGGCTATTTCATTATAGATAAGGGGTGGCCAACCTGCTTTCGATCGCGAGCGACTAAAATCTTCAAAATTGCTCGCGATCGACTGGTCGGTAATAAGGTAATACAAAAAAGCGAATGAGCACTGAATATGCCGATAACTGCACACGCTCACAAATAAGTCGGCTTTGTGGACTCATTCATGTTGTTAATAAACTGGTTCAAGGCAATTTCTCAGGGTACATTATTAAATTCACACAACATCTGACACGATTGACCGGTTGATCGCGATCGACGTGTTGGCCACCCCTGATATAGATAAATGAACTTTTAGACATGACTATACGAACCCGAAAGTTGTGAAACAGAATCAAATTTATGATAATGAAAAGCTAGGGCTGATGCTCTCTGTGTGCTTCATGATAATACTATAATAAATCATGTTTAGATAGCCTGCACTTCCGTATCTTCGGGCAATAATTTAATAGGACAAGTCCATTTTATTGATTAAATTTTCGTGTGAGCTCAAAATATATTTAATTACTGTCATTGTAGTTTCAGAAGCCATAGGATCAGTAGAATGTTCTGTGTTATCACTAATTTTTGCCGGATCTGGACGTTTATGTTTGTTAACATCCCATCCATGAAACTGTTCTCTTTGTTCAGTAAATATTCTGTGCCTGAAAATATGTGAATGAAGAAACTGCAATGATATGGAATTAGGAGTAAAACTAAAACATCATCAACCTGAATTTTGAGAGACAAGAATAAAGAGTCCTAGAATGAAATAAATATACGGGTTGGCCACAGCAAAAAAGTATCAAGTTGAATAAGCTGGATCAAAAAGAAGGAGCTTCTTAGCAATTATCATGATTTCTCAATCAGTAGATATATTTGTTGAAAATATATGAAGTTTATACTTGGACCAACTAAATACAGTTCACACAGAGTTTCCATCTCCAAGAGTAAATGAATAAGTAAACTTTCAGTTACCCTAACTACTTGAAGCTAGATTCATTGACTGGCTATGGCACAAGCTATCAATGATGTAGAATTACATGTCTTTCACAACACAATTTCAAAAATTGAGTTTGAAAATACTTGCTGATACAGACCTATCATGCTTTGTATGAAACTTTAATGTGGTTCATTTGGCCAAGAGATGGCAAAAACCGAATATTTTACTATTTCGAAGGCATTCTGAGAAAACCTTTTCGAATATGAAATATCAAATACATTCTAAATTGGGGAATGTTCATATGTTCAAAGTACATAAATTAATAAATCTTCAATTGATCATATTTAAAAACATACAAATACAAAGTTCATTGTTCTCTCTATGTCGTTTCTTACCAGTTGAGATAGCGTATGTTTTGATCTGCTTGTCAGACGACTCAAAATCCCTAATTTTTAAATAAAAATGTTCTGAATTATCTCTAAATTCAAAAAGTTTACTATATGAAATATAATGAATTTCAAATGTATTCAAATATTCAATTCGTTTTGGACATCCCTGTCATTACTTTTAACGAACATTATCACCCACCTATTATCCATTCTTATTTCCAATGTATCTGGAGCAGGCATCGCTGGTTTAGGGGGTAAAGGATACTTATCCTTCTTTGCAAAATCATATTTATATTTTGTGGTAGCTTCCATTTTAGGTAAGGCTACAAGTTTTTCTGGAGTTTTGTTATTTCGACCATAGATTTTTTGTGAAGTTGGTACAAATTTAAAACTTTCCCTTTGAGTTGTTTCATGACACTGTTCTCCTGAATTGAATAATAACAAATAGATTTAAGTAAAATGTATCTCACCAGAAAAAGGGATTGAATTATTCGTAGGATGAATTTTGATATTTTTCTTAAGATAGGACAACCAATAATTATAGGGCGAATAAACTGTTTGCTTGTTAACTAGTACAAATGAAGATCAAGATATAAACAGCGGTGAAAGCCTTTTCTTATCACAGAGACAACATAAGTATATAACTTGAAAATCTAACCCATAGAAATATTAGAGGATAGAATAATATACTATTAGTTCTGAATAATTTCAAATCCTCAATTAGGTATTTGATTATATTTTCGTTGCTCAGATTACAAAATTTCAAATGTTCATATTAAAGAGGTTTTGGGCATTCGTCTTGAATATATTGAATTTCCAACATTTCCCTGGTTTTCAACATCAATTTCATTTTACTAATTCTAGGGTATAGAAAATCCTAAATATGTTAAGAAATATACAACTTACAATTGCTTGGAATCTATTATTAACCTGACATATATTGAGTATTTTAAGTTATTCTTGTAATAACGAACGATTCTATATGAAGTAGAATTAATTATTAAACCAAATACGTTGGTATAATTTTTGTGTAAATCCTGTAAACATTACCTTCGCCAACTTTAATATTGGGTTCAGCAGCTTTAATCAAAGATGGTTTGCATGCAGATTTGTATGAATAATCAGCTTGTGTCCGAGACAACAAATTATCTTTGCTATTATCTTTGTCTATAATAAAAAGAAAAAATAATGCTGCCTGGTACAGTTTAAGATGATAATTAGAAATAAATCAACTGGTTGCTGATTCTTCAATGACAAATACCTTGGGATAAACAAATGAATTTATGTTTATCTAATCATTCAAATTACCAGGAAAAAGCAATGAATGTGTAAATGTTGGCAGTTCTCCAAATCTTTGTGGTATTTGATATTGTTTATGATCTTTGAAAAATAATCTATTCATTGTCTTGTCATCAAATCTTCCCAGCTTAGGCTTTTCAATTTTTTGTTGTGATTGTGTCTGAATCAGAGAAAAATATCATCATAAAAATTGAGTATGAATAACTATATTCACTTATTCAAAATCCAAAAGAACTACTAACAGCTCTGACAACAGGTAGAGGTGATTTTCTCTTGTATTCATTCTGATACAAGGTATCAGTAACAAATGGTTCGTCACTCTCAAGTCCTCTTTCTTCCTGCATGTTAAAATATATATAATTCGACTTTTTTCATCGGCTTACTCTTCAATGAGTCAGTCATTCAACAATTTTGTTATAAGATGGAATAGATGCCATGGTACAATTGACAACACAAAGGAGGGCAATCCAGGACAGACGCTAAACCATCTAACGAGGTTTAAACACATGTACCTATAAGTACTGCAACACAATTAAAGCATGATCAGAATCTCTATAATTGGTCTCGAAGTTTGTAAACATTGTGATCAAACACGCCTGTGTCATACATAGGAGCAATGGAAGTATAAACAATAAAATAAAAATCACAGACAATATAGTTCTTACTTATCAAAACCAAACTAAAATGTCACTGAATAACTCATTTAATATATACTTTCTTTATATCGATTATTAGCAGATTTAAAATAAAACAGACATCTGAAATTAGCTCGTTGGGTTGAGATGTTACACACTATTGATTTCAGATTTAAATTTTTTTTCCGATAAAGATGAATAATAGTATTCAATTAAATCTAACTGGACGAATCAAATCCCGTTTTGCACTGAGATCTTTTGGTGAATACGTCTTCATGTTCGTTGTTTGAACTTCCATTGGAGGAAATTGCACTCTTGGCTGAGGAATCTCTGGTCGCATTGACTTAGTTGCACTGAAGTTCCTTTTATAATGATAAAAAATTGCTCAGTTATCTGTCATTATTTTGTATATGAGTTCGCTTACTTTTAATAAAAAATATTGATATTGACACTACATCTGCACAGTACAGCAGTATGGATGCCCCCAAATAAAACAAGCGCAAAGCTGATGATTTGGGATATTTCTAATACAAACAGTACAAATTAGTAAAGAAGACAGAATGCAGGAATGCCACTAGGACTATGCAAGAAAAAATTGAATACACATATATCGATATATCAAAGAAAAAATGTGTTGTAGCTCAGTAGTTGAGCAGTATAAAACTTATACTACATTTCACATCAGACGTAATACTGTAATATAGACTACTGTATTGATTTTCCAGTTCTAAGGTACCGGTACTATTCTAAGAGTTACTATTTGATAATAATAATTTCTGAATTTACCTGTGTTTTATGTAAGTGGCTGCATAGTTTGATTGCCCACTGTCTCCAAGTTTTCCTTGAGTAATATCGAAATTCTTTGCCACATACTTAACAATCCTAGGCCTACCCATAATGTCAATTTTTGGATATTTCTATGAGTACAGGTCTACGAGTATTCTATATTATACAGAAATATGATGTTTAATCTGCTTAACTGACAAGTCTACAAAATTTTATAAACAAAACACGTTTACACAACTTAGCCATTTTTCTATCTTTGAGCCTATCAGTAAAGGAAAATAGCAATAACTTTGCCGATATAGTTTAATGTCAACACAGCCATCAATTATAAAGGCATTGCTGCATCGTTGAGAAGGTTGTTAATTAAGCTTGCCGATTTCGCGGTATGAGCAGCTTCCCCAACAACGCACATAGTTACCGGACAAAATTAATCACAAGAGGGCAGTAAAGGATTCCGTATGTCCAAAGCAACGACTTTACTTACCTATGGCCCATAAGTACATAACTATGGTATGCCGCAGGTTTGCGGCAAAGCGGTTCCCAAACGGGGCGCCGCGGCGAACTAATGCGCTTTGAAACAGAATTGTGTTAGACATAACTAATATATGATTGAATATATTAAGAATTGTATTTATTATAATTGTTTTTCTTTTAAATGCTTCTTATATGAATCAATAATTGTCGTTTACTTTCTGTTATGTAGTGTTACGTAAAGAAAACTCAGGGATAGATCATAAACCAGAGTTGACATTTCACTTACTCTCCAGGCATACACGTTTACAAACTTTAATAGGCAGAAAGTAGACATTTCCCATCACAAAATTGAGTTTTATAGGCAGCAATTTTTTTCGTGTAAGTGCGCCGTGAGTTATTTTCTGATACTTTTGCGCCGCGCGAACGAAAAGTTTAGGAACCGCTGCCGTAGATCATTATTCTGGAGGATAGAAAAAATCTGACAAACCGTCAGAAACGATAAGACAGTTTACTAGTTCCCAAATTTTCTACACCGGCGGTCCGCTAACGTCTAATAAAATATTGTCACGGGCAGGCGATGAAATATTGAATCAAATAAAAAAAAACGACTGAAAAAAAAACAATGACTGAGTTTGCTTAAAACATAAAACCATGCTTTTGCACCTACTGGTCGTCTGGTCCAAAGACTACAAAATAGCGGCGGCAAAGCAGTTCAAAAACCAAGTGCCAATTGGACTCTTATTACACTCTTGCATTTACGTGAATTGATGATTACGTTTCACAATAGTGTTCAAATTGCGCTAACATCAGGATATCGTTTGCTTGTTTAGGACGTGGGCTCGAACCATTCGAAGGGATACAGAAACCAACGATAAGAGTCTCCAAATTGCACTGACATCAGGATGTCGTTTGCTTGTTTACGACGTGGGCTCGAACCATTCGTAGAGATACAGAAACCAACGCTTATGTTCAAAGGGCAGGCATTACACATTATAGTGTAAATTATGATGTGAGATATACAGGCAATGCTGAACTTCGATCACACTCAAAGAAAAACATACCGGTCACACCTGTGAAAAAACGGGGAACCGGCGTGGCTTTTATAAAGCAGTGTGGATAGCTGGAATGTGTCGGGTTCTCGAAAACATTGTCCGCGCTCCGGAATAACGAGACGTTGTACAGTATTTTTTGGCGAATCTCGACAGATACAACCGAACATGTTAGATTATAAGCAAGCGAAAGGCACTTTGTGTAATAGCTTGCATGCTTCTGGTATATCAACGCAATGACACACAAAAAAGGCGTTGTGGTGGAAAATTGCCGATATCCTTTTTCCGGAGTAAAGTTCTAACACTGACATAGGAAGTGACCTCTCCGTCTTATTTCGGGCTTTGTCCGAAGCTCTTGGCGCTTTCGTGATTAATGCGAGGTCTTCTGTTATTACGCCATTTTCCGTTGAATGTTTCGCGTCAAAGACATTCACCACGAAATCACTTCGAGCTGACATCAGATTAAGTGATATCCTTTGTGAACTCGTTTTTGGAATGTCTGCTATCCTGCTTTTTAGTTCAACAAGGTCGGCATAGTTTTGCGAAATGACGAAATATTCCATTTGCTGTAAAAATAGACAATTACATGAAATTGTTGGCCTGGTGGAACGACCTTTGGTCGATTTAACCTGCTTCTATCCATGATTTTTATATTCGCACCCATACTGACGAAATCTAAACATCTTTGTGATTGCAATAAGGAAATTGCACTATACTCTTGACGCCTGTAATAAAACTACATGGTAAGAATGTTACGGTTATCGAGTTTGATCATGTATATTTGACACTGCAATTGAATAGAAAAAATTGACATTAACATAATTAAAAAAAATCATTAAAAAAATAGAAGTATAACATATCGTCATATCTATTTTTAGATATACACTGCTATGACTGCTACAAACTGCTTTGAACACCAAGAAGAAGACCCGGTTGTTTTGGTGTTAATTTTATAATTCCTTGAATTTCTTTGAACTTCGGATGATTTTTATCTTTCACTAATTGCAGAAGAACAGTTTCTGCTGTTGTAATAATGGCACCTTGGCTTCGTAATCTCTGTAATGACATGTTGAAAAATTGACACTAATTAACAATAGACAAAAATTCTGAAGTATACGGTTTATTACAGCAAAGCACAAAACTGGTGCTTGGTGTCAAACTGGGATAAATGAAGTTTAAGTGAGCAATGTCTTACATCAATTTTATCAGAATGTGTATTCATGCACGCCACAAGCAAGTCAAGTCTGAGACAATTACATATTGGATAAAAAGATAGCACACAAAAAGTATGCAGACAAATGTGCCCTAAAACATAGTTTGCAAGAGACCTTGTTCAGTGCACAAACAACACTATTTTTAACATTTTTAATTTATGATGTTACAAAAATTGTATTCATGTTCAAAAGAACCTATAGTCAACAGTCATGAAATTGTAGATGGGAGTCATCAAGTCTGAGCTTGACGAACCCCTGATCACTTTGGATCAGCTCCAGGTGGAGGATTAATTTTTACAAACTGATAAAAGCAATAAGGCCTTGTACATATGTTTTTAAATGAGCAATTTAAATATCTGCAACACTTTTTCATGAGATGTCTCACACTACTGCTATGGGACTTACATCAAAGGCCATTATTCTGTCAACTTGAGACCGAGACGAACATGCATCTGCAATCACTTGAACTTCAATTCCTCTTGCTAATAAGTCCAATGCTGTTTGTTGTATACAGACATGTGCCTGTATAAACAATAATACACATTTCAAAAATTAAATGTACAAAATTGAAAACAAATCCCGATAGAGAAAAATCATCATCACCTCAACACCAAAAAGAATAACACTTCTTAGATCCTTCACATTTGCTTCTAAACTTTTTTCAACTTCTGGAACCATCATTGAAAATACTGTTTTTTCCACTACTGCCTTTGCATTGCTGATATCCAGTTCCTTCACTGTGTGAAGCAATCCTTTTGGGTACTTTGAATAGAAACAAATTCATAAAAATCAATGTCCATCCATGTGCATGAAACTATAAATGTAATAAATCTGCTGCTTTTCCGGGGTACTTGAGTCAATTTGACTTATAATCAGAAATTATTGTTCAATGACGAGGCATGCCAATATCTATTTCACAAATAAGACAATGTAACTAATAGACAGAACACATTTTAAACAGATGAATATGCCTCATGATGAAACAAGGTATTTCACTTCACATAAATACTTTACTGCCTAAGTTTGTCATTCGATATGGATCGATAACCAAATGAGAGGCCGAGGCACGCAATATGTTTGGACTGCCATATCCGCTTTCTTCTCTGCAGCTGACATAGATCGGTAACTGAATGAGAGACTGAGGTACGTCATGTGTTTAACTCACCATATCAGCTTTACTCTCCCCAGGAGAAGTATAAAAATCCTACCTCAACACCTTATTAATTGGCATCAACAAAAACATACATCATACATAAATCTAATATATAAATTATGTTGAAGTGGTCATACCTGTTCTGTCACAATGACAGGTATATCCAATAAAGATGCCCCTTTTAATAATCTGCTGGAAACTTCAGTTATTTCATCAAAATGTAAAATAGCAGGTTTGAATCTTTCTTGCATATCACAGCAGAGGAAGGCACAAGAATCTGGTGTCAGGTTTCCTAGACACGGATTCTGTAGTAACAATACAGCAATTACTTAAAAGGTTGGGGAAAAATACAGTTTGGTTAATAATATAATATTCATTAGATAAATAATAAAGTTATTATAATATAGAACACAAAAGACAACAAAACTCTTATATTGTAGTATAGATAAAATCAGTACTAAGCAATTAACCAATTCAATTTTGCTATACAAAAATATATTTGTATTAGTGTGCAGCAGGACTCTTGAATTGCATATTATCAATTTTACTAGTTGCTTTATTCCACACTCACACTAATGACGATTTCACAAACATCACTTACATTAGTTTCTTTATTAATTAATCTAAATTTGCAAACAACAGAATTGCTGTCAATTGTTGAAGTTTCCAAGTCAACCCACTGATTCCAGTGACTATCCCATTTTTGCAAAATTGATTGCGAAAATTTGTTTATTTGACCAGGAAATAATTCGTAAAACTTGTTCTTCAACTCTTCACACGAAGTGCCTGTAATAGAAATATTGCAAAATTAACAAAGGTAGCTTATCATTTACAAATACTAGATCTATCACATCTAGTCAAAATATCTGTAAAAGGACTGATGTGCAGACACATTGCAGCATTGTACTGTAGAAGCATTGCACTGTTGTAAATAAACCTATGACAAATTTGTAAAATCAAACTTTGATCTACTGATCTAATTTAGATTCTAGATATGATATAAAAATGAATGGTCATAATAATCCAATTCCAACAAAATCCTATAAACTCAAACTATGGTACAATCAAACTACAAAAGCGACTATAAAATAATGAACGAGCAATTATTAGATACCAGTAGATCCAAACAAGCAATGTCACTACCAGTATGTTACTCTGACAACTCTCACAACGAATTTCAGGATTAATTGACCCACCTTCTTCCAAGACTGTGATCTTTGCCTGTTTCCCAAAAACGAGCAAGGCCTCCATAACGAAGCTTTAGGTTGAAGTACACGGCCTTAAATAACGTCTGAACGTAGTACCCGGTAGTAGGTTGACCGCGGGGTAGGTGCTGCAATGGTGTTCTATCTGGAGAGCTATGGGTTAACGCGTTTAACACGTCATTTACTTAATTTTAGATTTTATTCACTTCCCAGATTCTTACCTTCTCTTTTCATGTGTACTGTTTCTATTTTTTTGCGAATGAATCAAAATAAAATCTATCTATCTGGTATATGGTCGAAAGTAATGTCCAATTTACCATAGAAGTTAAAAGTGGGATAATAGAATCAGTTTCTCGTCAACAAGGACAAACTACGTAATTCATAAACAACAAGATTCAGTATTCAATTTAATCATGACACCAGACCATCATGGTCAATATCAACTATAATAATTGTCTTATCTTAAAAATATAATACCTCTGCTATTATTATACAAGATCATGTTTTTAAACTGATTAATGTGGCGTTCAATTGAAGTCAATACTTCAATATGACAAAACGCTCAAAAAATTGTGTTCGGTGTTTTTCAGGTTGAAAAATTGTTAGGAGCAACACAAGGGCACTAAAATGACCTATGTTAATTAGCTACCATGGTGCACGCTTGTATCCGAACACGGCGTCGTGGCTTTCCATATGAGTGAGCCTGCTTGGTGCCTTTCCTCTCCGCCGGCCAAAATGTGAAAATCCGATCCTAAAACTGGCAAGGCTGAAAGCTAGTCATATCAGGGGAATTCCCCTATGTGGCAATGCTAAACAACTGCATTCCAACATACAGACATACTTGCGTTGCGACTTTGGGTCGCGCGCAGTCTTGTCGATTAAAAATCGATTGACATCGAAAAGCAAGAGCAGTAAAGTTGGTTAAAGAGCCATAAATACATGAGAAAACTCCGTAGGTCATGCCGGACAGTTTAGACAGATAGAAGCCAGAAATAGGGGTCATGACATTAAATGTTCATTTTTACGAGACTACCGGTACAGCACCAGAAATCTATCAATATGACATAAAGCACGAAAAAGATGCCATTTGTATATGTTCTGTGCGTGGGGGCAGTCTTGGTGTTTTAAAATTCCTATAAAAACTGGCCAAAATTTTTTTTTTGTGTGTGCAATTTCTGATATGATAATGTAAAATATTTAATTTGTACTTTGTAGTAAATGTTCCACATGGATGAAAGTAATTTGGAGCGCCAGAAAGATGAAATTGAAGCATTAGCTGCTATTTACACAGAAGAGTTCAAGATAGTCAATGGGGAAAATCATATTTATGAATTGGAATTCCGCAAACACCAAGGAAAATCCACTTTAAAAATCATACTTCAGGTTACTCTGCCTCCATTGTATCCTGAAGAAAGTCCACCAATGTACGAGATTCAAGCCCCTTGGCTGAAGGGTACTTCGCGGCAGGAACTATACAATGCTTTGGAGAGTATTTACTTGGAAAATATAGGTGAAGACATTCTTTTTATGTGGGCAGAAAAAGTCAGGGACATTCTGGAGAAGGAAAATCCTGATTCTGAAGGAAATGTATCAGATATAAGCAATTGTGAAACCGATTTCAAGTCCCATGAAGAGCCCTTACTACCTTGTCCAAGGATCTCACATGGTGAAACGATAACTGACCGCAAAAGTACATTTCAGGCACATCTTGCTGTAGTGTCGAGCATGGATGATATAAAAGCTGTGCGGCAAAATTTGTTATCCCACAGGAAAATCGCTAATGCTACTCATAACATTGTAGCATACAGAATACAAAACAAAATTGGAACATTTAATCAAGACTGTGACGATGATGGTGAACATGCTGCAGGTGGAAGATTATTGCATCTTTTACAAATCCTTGATGTGAAAAATATTATAATCATTGTTAGTAGGTGGTATGGGGGCATCCACTTGGGTCCAGACAGATTCAAGCACATAAATAATGCTGCGAGAAGTATTTTGCAGAGTGAAGGGTTTTTAAACAAAAATGCAAAATAATATAGAACTTGGATGATAGAAATGTTATTTTATCATAAATTTTATTCATGGCACTTTATGATAGAACCAAACTTTTTCTGCTTATGTCTGTGCTTATTCGTTTTTCTGCAATAATTCTCACTCGCGTCTAATCAATTTAGTGCAACTGAACAAATGTGAAACAATACTTTTTGTGCAATTTCTATATTTTGTTTTTGAGTTTAAAACCTTTACATAAAACGAAAAATTCTGAAGAGTCTTTTCTGCTTGCGTTTGGTTTAATGTTTTGCACAGTGTCGAAAAACACCTCTATCTTCTGCTTCAATTGTACAGACTTGTCACCATCCAAAAGTTTAAATAAGAAAGTGCCTTCTTCTTTCAATTGCTATGAGATAAAAAAGCATAATTTCGCTTTATTCACACATAAAACAGAACTTGGGCGAATAAACGATAACGCACCTGAACAGCAAACTTTGCTGCAGAAAATGCCAGTTTAACGATTATATCATGGTCCATAGTTTTTACTCCCGATGCCTTCGGTGCAGCATCACAAAGAACTATATCTACCTTATTTGACTTTCCATTCTGAAAGAAACATTGTTTTTATTGTAGTTTGTTTATACAAATTATTTGAGACAACACTCAACTTTTGCAATTAATCAGTGAATGGAATCAATAAAATGTTTTTTGCAACATTTTACAAATTTTTTGTTTGAAAAACCATCAAAAATCATTAAAATAATTTTCATAATATTAATTTGGAATTTAAGATGGAAAACAAATAGCTTAAAACTTATATTACCTCTCGTAAAATATCTTCTATTTTGTTTTGTACTGTTACAGTCGTGAAATCTCCTATGATTGAATACACACCATCTAATGGTGGAAATCTTTTCATGTCAACAGCAATTACAAGGCCATCCTGGTTGTTTTCTGAAAAAATCAAACATAGGTGATAGGGATACTCCAATCATACTCAACAATATGGTTCTATAGTCAACAATCTATGTAGAATTGAACACTTTTTCTGCTACATTTCTCAGTGGGGTATGTCGTTCAAAAAAAAATCATGCTTCAGTAAAAGCAATTGAAAAATTGCCTAGCTGCATAGTATCGTGAAATCCAAGAAATCTGCTTTGAAATTACCACATGCTCTTGAACTTGCAACTTGTGACCAAGATCCTGGAGCAGCCCCCAAATCTATTATTGTTGAACCCGGATGTAAAATCTTATGGTCATCATCAATTTCTAGTAGCTTGAAAACACTTCTGCACCTGAAGACAAATGGATTTCATGGAAATTAGCATTAATAGCAAATCCATGTAGTATAGCAAAATACTTGCTCTATTATGGCAGAAATTAATTAAAGTTCTATAACCACCTGTCCCTAATAACCTAGAGTTGCTAGTTGCATAAGATATCTGCAAGAGTAGTATTATTCCATATGTTTTGAAAGGAAAAATGGGATATAGTTAAATTTTCAGTAAAAACCCAGTGAACTCTGGTAAACACACTTCTGCCACATATAGTTGGCCTATGATAATATGAAATTATCATTTGTATTTGGATGCCGTTATTGTCGGGTTAAATGCATTTCATTGGCTGGTTGGAGAGAGAGAGAGAGTTTCCATTCGTCAAAACACACAATATATGCAAACACATATAAACAATAAATAGACAGATGCTTTGGTGCATGACTGGGAAGCAACGGTAAGATCTTATAGGGTCATCAGAGACTGTTGCCACCATTCAATCACATTACCAGCAACAATATGATCCAACAGACTCAGTCTTATAAGTTGATAATGACTCACAAATTCAAAGAATTTGGGCGTTAATGCTTGAGAAATAAAAAGTACTGTATATATACGTGAATTGTTGAGTTCCGACAGTGTTTCTTCGGAGTCATAAAGTGACCCTGAATATCTAACTGCCTCTGAAAGCGGGTTACCCAATTTTTAGGAGTCATTATGAATATCGAAGTCGAAAAGTTTTTAGTGGATGACTATTAGATTAAGAATTTAAGATAAATATCACTTGATATGTTCTAAGCCTTCATATTATATGTAATATATATTTGAGTCAAGCATTTTAGTTTTTGATATTGTGAAAAGCTCAAAATGAAGAACCTGTAATTTTCTAGTCTTCGTCTCTTTACATATGGATCATTTAGTTGTCTAAGAATGAATTGTGATGTGCCTTTCAAATGAACATCTGAAAAATTCTTAGGAGGTATTCTTTTGCCTCGTTTCATCAACTGTATGGATGATGTGACAAATTTCCTCAGTGGAATTAATGTCATGAGCAATTCTACTACAAAATATGTAAAAATACAGATGTGTAAAGGTTTCGGAGATGATCAGTTTGAGCCAGAGATATGGGTCAGTGTCTTAGCACACTTCTTATAGGTTATAAATAGTCTACGGAAATATAGAAAGACCGATAGTCAAGTCACACAATACAATACATAAAAGCATACAGGGAAATTTCAAAGTAAACATCATAAGCTGCATCAGTAAAAATAATGTTAAAAACCTTTTTCTCATTGCAGTTTAGGGTAACTGTCCTAACGTATGTGCAACTACCGAACTACGCAAAAACACCTGCACCCAAATGTCCAAGTGCAGTTTCAAGTATTTTGTGGCGTCTAAAGCTGCCGCAAAACCATGGCCGCTATGGCCAAACCCATGGCGACTGGCTTTTTAGCCGCCACAAACAAATGGCGAGCTGCGCCAGTTTATGAGCCACCGTGTACCACCAACATGATGCGTAACTACGGCATTTTTGGCCGAAGATCGTATCCGATAGCACGCTCCAATGCACATACTCGACGAGACGAAAACGAGCGGATGTGTGCTGCTTTCAAGGCATAGCACGAATGATTTTCGTGCCTGCTTTGACAGTTGTTGTCGATTTTAATGATATTTTGGAAAGTTGAGGTAAAAAGAAATCGGAAAAAGGTAAGGTAAATACTATTGTTGTATATCACACCCGGGCATCGCACTGTTAAGTACATCTGGGAACAGGGTTGCCAGACCCCAGCGATCAAAAAAAGCCAAATCAAGACATAAAAAAAGCCAGAAAAAGCCAACAATTTTACTAAGTACAAAAGCCCCATGATTTGTCAGATTTTAAGCCCTTGGCAACGTACTGATGATGATGTAGAGCGATCAGTTCATTCAATGAGGCACACAAATAGAAAGTAAAGTTCCTATAGAACTGTAGAAAGTAAAATAAATATCAAGCGGACAGCATTATTTTACCATTCAATATATACAATACAAGGCGCCGCTTCAGTCTGTCAGTATGTAATATACTTACATGTTTCTACTTAAACTTGTGATATACCATAAAAAATTCTCCCTATATCGTACTTTTATATTGAATATTTTTTTACTTTTGAAATTTATAAACCATTTATAAACCATCAATTGTATTAAAAAATGATCTACCCCCTGCCGCTCACAGGTGGACCACTGATATCTAATTCAGTAATTTTAGCGTAGTTAATCACATCGTTACTGCAATTGCAGAATTAAACTAAAGCTCACATAAACCATATCAGGCATAATGAAAATTAAGTTATACAACTATTTTTTGGAAACAGAACGTAAAACTGACAAATAACACGCAAAACTATAAAAACGAGGCAATGTTTACAACCCTGCCTGAACATCTGTCTGAGCAGCTGCAGAAACTGCAATTATTTCTTATTGGGTATGGTTAGGAGTTAATGTAACAAACAAGGAAATCGATGCTCCAGGAAATCCTAATGTTAAGTAGCTAATAAGTACAGGTAATAGGCTATTGTTCAGTTGTTACACACTAAATATTGTATTTCATATGATTTTAAGAATAGACACTAAAATAGACTTGAAAAAAGCCAAAAAAACGCCAAAAAGCCAAACGGAAATTCTGACGCCAAACGCGTTTGAAAAAAGCCAAAAATGGCAAATTTGGCGTTAAAAAAGCCAATATGGCAACCCTGTCTGGTAAAGCCAGCTTTTGTCAACAACTACGAAGTTATTAATTCAGTACGGTACGTAGTTGCCCATTTGCCGGAATTGCATAGTTACTTACCCCTTATGGTTCCAAATAGTTCATGCACCTCCATTTAGATTTTTTTTAATCAGTCAGGATATATACTCATTGGTGTAACATCTTATTGCGCATTCACTTTTATTTGCGTATTGAATCAAAGGGTTAACAAGTTCACCTAACATTCCACTCATACCGGTATATTGTATAATCTGATCTCTCAAGTATTTGGAGCCACGAATGCTTGTAAGTTTCTGACTAAACCCCTTTATTAGTTGGTTTATATACCAAATTCAGTAAAACATTTTTTACATAAATCATGAGATATTGGATTTAGTAGCTTTCCCATTCTAAATCATATAGACTGCTTTATTTATTCTTAACGAAAATTAATAAATCTCTTCTCTTTCTTCAAAACTTTCAACTATTCGTCTAATCTCAATTTCCTATTATTTATTCACAGGACAACTATAGCAGAAGGGGAGGTGTGATTCCAAAAAATATAATTAGAGTACTCATTAAATGTTTGCAATAGAATAACAACCTATGGAGGCATGCAAAGACATTTGACCCTCCGGTAGAGTTGTATGTATGGCCCCCACATCCTGAAGGGCTTGAGGAAAATAACTACAAATTCCAAAGCGTAAGATTGCATAAGCGATCTAATTTGTAAAAAGGCACAAAACATGCCAGACATACTTGAAACAGCTTTGGAAAATGGTTCTTTGGTTCATCAACTTTTGGTAGTACTATAGAAGATATTCAGGAAAGGTATAATCATGATTCATGATAAAATACTGTTATATATATTTTAGACAACTTCAATCTAGACAAGGGATGTCAAACTCGCGGCCCCAGAGAACTTCCACTGCGGCCCTCGAACGCTTAACAATAATTGTAATAGTATTTTGGAAGTTTTTTTTTATCTAACTGTAATAGATTTTTCAAACCTTTTTAAAGTGAAATTGATTATTTACACAGAAAACAATTTACTGAAAGTAGTTTTGGAAAATTAATTTATTTTTGTTCACATTTTGGCCCAATTAAAAATACACATTAAGCTAGCAAAAGAATACTTGAATAAAACATTTGAGTGATTAAATTAAACGCAAAGTACATGAAGAAGGTGGCATTTTCGAAGAAAATTGGAGTTTTAATTTAATAAAATTTGTCATATTTTCATCAATACAATGAAAAAACACAATAAGCTAAGCAGTCAATATGACAAATTCAAAGACCAACTTCGAACAGAAAATTTCCATGTGTTTGTATATTAATATAAATATACAACGTTTCAGTTACTAAAAATCAATATCAATAATAATTCAAGCAATCCTATGCCACGCAATGTGGCGCGAAATGTCTTGTCGAAAAAATCTGTCATTTGTTTTTTTACTGATCTATACATGAAATGATGAAAGTAACTTTTTTGCATTACTGGAATTAATTAAACATTCGCAAAGATCCAGATTGACCCATGATCACGTGACCTCGTTAGTTAGAGTTAAGTACTATAAAATCATTTCAGCCTGGCCTTAATATGCTGTGACACAAAAAAGATGCCAAACGTCAGGACAAATGCAATTAAAAAAACATTGAGTTTATACTGTAGTATTATTGTTAATTTTAGGTCCATATATTTAGATTAAGTCATTTTTAGTGTATGTATTATTCTTTTCTTATCCAAAGCTTGTTCAAAAATGATTTTGATGGTTGTACATAGAATTTTATGATTTTTTAAAATAAATACAGTAACTTGCAATAATAGTGGAATGCAAATATTAATATGTAATTGCATTTGAAATAATAAAACTTAATCCAACTGTTTAGTTGCATCACAATATATGTCACAAACTAAAACTATCTTAAAAATATCTTTCCAGTATACATTATCAAAAACTGTTTGACACCACTTATCTATTCCAGACGATTCAAGCATAGCTTTGGGAAATAATATCACTTCAATTAAATTGAAAAAAATCTCGCTGTATCAAATACAAAATCGTTGCTATCATAAAGGTAAACCAATTCAGCCACTCGAAATATATTGGCCTTCACAAAGCAATGGAGGCAAAATTGAGAGTTCATGAGCTATGAACTTTTGTTCTTTTCTTTGTCTTGAACTTTTCATACTCCACAGCCCCTATTAATTTTTTTAAATATTAATTACCATGTGATGGTCATACATATCTTTAACTTGTATTTTCTGTCATGATGTATTATCTCAATGTGTTAAACTATTAAGTAGTGTGCATATTTTGCTTCCAGATGACATAAATATATTGTCTTGTTTATTACCTCAGCTTGGAGTATTGACAAGAAAAAGGTGCCAGTAAATTACGTAAAATTTTTTTTAATTAACTCTTTGTTATAATCAGATTTCACAATTAATAGGAATTATAAACAGCCAACAATTAATGAGAATTATATGCGAAATCCCTCAGAATAAATTTGTCTTCTAAAATCGGAGGAAGGCAAAACATATATAGGTAGTTTCCATCCACACAAGTCTTTCAAGAAGACTTTCTCGAGCCAAACTAAATGAGCATCGTCAGGTGATCAGTAAGGCTGCAAGTTGAATTCAGCTTTGCAACCTCCTGCATAGAAGATAATATTAATTAGTGGGCTATGAGCTAAATTCCTAAATTTAAACAAACCTATCTACGAGGCATTAACAAAAACAATATTGTATCGTTATTAATTAAATAAAATATTTATGGCTGCCATACTGCTTGACCGGGACATCTAAGTCTACCGAGAGAGACGCCGGGACAGTTTGTCGAAACCTGAGCTAAACAGGGACGTATGGTAAGCCTGCGTGATGCACCATCATAAATCTATTTAATTTCAGTAGCTCTTGAAATCCCACCGGTCGATGTTATCTTTGCTTGGAGATGAGTCTCCCTCAATTATGAGCGAGTGACATTGTTTGATCAGATTCTCTTGAAAAACTTACCTTCGTATCTTCCGGAAAATGGATTAACTTTCTGTTTCTCGACGAAATCATTCGTGTGTCTAATAAATTCACCTACTAAAGCAAGTTCGATAGGTGCAAACTTTGTGTTATGGAATTGTATCACAGCACCGTTAAGGGAAGTAAAAACAGTTTTGCTGTTTTGTATGACACCCTCTTTAAATGAAATTTCAATGTTTAAGCGCAAACATAAAAATTACTAAATTTGAACTTTGTCATTATCTGCAAAATGTTCCACACATATCATTCCGCTATCGCGTTTGTAATCTTCTAATCTTGTCAATAAATTGCTCTTTACAGCTTGTCTGCCATTCCAGCTTTCCAAGTGAGAAATACTTCTTAGATATAGAGAATATTTTCTTTCGTTACAGGTGCAAAAAGGCAGGTACTACACGTAAAGAAGACGCCGAGTAGCAAAAGCAAGCGAAAAACGGTCGCGAAAGGCGACGAGAAATATGTGCATTGGAGCGTATCATGAAATACAATCTTTCGCCTGTAGTCTTATGGAGTGACGTCGGAGTTGCCTATCATGTTGGCTAATGTCATTGATATCACTGAACTGACATGTAAACACTTTAATCAACTCGTTCACGCGTGTAACCTTTTTTCCGTCGCGCTCTTCAAGCGCGTTGTCCTATAATAGTATTCATTCCTTGTTTAGTTGTCTTAAGAGTCTGTCGTTGTTCACCTTTAATATTATTTGTCACGAAGGACTTGTGTGTTGTATTCGGGGTGA